TTCTTTTTTTTTCATTAATGTTAGCTTTTAGAAAGCGTTACCACAATACTAAACATGTATAATAATCTCAGAAGATAATTTTATGAGCTTTTATATCATATGACTTTTGTTAGAACTCAAGATTAAATATCTTGGTTCCGATATTAGTTATGGAAAGTACTATACATCTACTGGATGACAACGATCGAAAGGTAACTACTTTGCTTAGAACAATTCACATATCGCACCTTTAGAATTGAAGTGACCTAATCCAAAATTCTCGTTTTTTGGTAAACGCTAAAAATGTGTTTCATTTTGGTTTTTCTATTATAATGCTATAAGTTATACGTTTATTATCATATTTTTTATTGTTAATGGTAGGATAGGAATTGTGTTCATGATTGTGTACTAATCCAGTCTGTGTAATTAATTAGAACCTTTGATAATTGATCACCAAAAAAAAATATGTCAATTAATTTCCGAAAACAATTTATTATAATTGGCTTATTTCACTTTGTGTCCAATTTTTTACTAAACAACATAAAACAAAAACGTAACCATTTAATATAGTGGCGATTCATTTCTAATGTTATATATTTGATAGATGAACAATTTTGTAATATGCTAGTTTAATAATTAATGATTTTCTAAATTAAAGGAAAATGAAATAAATGTCCACGCAACATTGAATGGGGTACTTCAATGCTGAGGGGGGCGTGGTATACGTGTCATTTAAAAGAGACGGAAACAGTACGTTTGTCTTTTTCTCGCTTAAAAGAGCCTGTTTATTATTAATAAACTGATAGAATATCTGTTTCACGTTTAAAAGTCATTTTGCTATTTTTTTTATTTAAGTCACTTCAATTCTAAAGGTGCGATATATAGGACTATCAAACAATAATAATTAGTTCAGTGGCCGCTGTAACAAAAATCAAGCCAACCTCCATACAAAATTACCCAATCCCCTTTGAATCTCAATACTTTTTTACTTCTTCTCTTATTGTTTCGTGGTAGTTTTGGCGGCAATCCCGATTTTTATTTTGAGGTTTGAAAAATATTTTGAAGAAAAATGGGCAAAAATAAAAGTTGCGATCCAACACTACGAAAAATTATCATGAAGTTTGTTGTCGAGCATGGTTGGCCATACCGAAGGATAGCAGAACATTTAAATTGTTCAAAAACTGTGGTATACAATGCAGTGCAACATGTCAGACGCAATAACACAGCTTTAAATGTGCCCAGAACGAAAAGATCGAGAAAAACAGCTCCGCAAGAAGATAGAATGATAACCAGGTTAGCTAAGAAAGATCCGTTTCTAGGCTCTATTTTAATTAAACACGAAGTGTTTGGGGCAGACGAAAGAGCTGGTGTCTCAGCGAGGACCGTTCGACGACGTCTGGTAGAAGCAGGGTTGTTCGGAAGAGTGGCTCGCAAAGTACCGTTGTTAAAGAAAGAACATAGAAATGCTCGTTTGGCGTTTGCACGTAAATATGGACATTGGACCTACGCCCAATGGCAACATATATTATTCTCTGACGAGACCAAGGTTAATTTGATTTCTTCAGATGGAAGGCAATACGTACGGCGTCCAGTAAAAGCGGAAATGAATCCAAGATTCACAAAAAAGCAGGTGAAACATGGCGGTGGAAACATTAAAATGTGGGGTTCATTTTCTGGACGTGGAGTGGGACCTGTGAGGAATGTTCAGGGTAACTTAGACTAACATCAATACAAGGCAATATTGGAGGAAACGATGCTTCCCTATGCTGAGAAGCATCTCCCTATTGTATGGACGTTTCAGCATGATAACGACCCGAAACATACCGCTCGTTCAGTCAAGTCGTTTCTTACCAGTCAGTCAGTATCGGTGCTAGATTGGCCAGCAAATAGCCCGGACCTTAACCCAATCGAGCACCTTTGGCACGAAATCAAGAAAAAAGTTTCCACTTATCGTACCACAATAGAAGATGCAATATTTTAATTTTTGTTTTCATTTTAAAGAATTTCATGTAGAATAAACCACAGATATATTAAAAAATTAAAACATTGTGATTTATCGGAAAATATGCGGTTTTAAATTGACAAATTAAATTTTCGCGCGAAAACGAACCTATAGTTGCGATGACGTCACTCCTGCCTGTCACTGGTCGTACTTGTTCGTCGCTGGCTTTAAATTTTCATACTTTTGCATATTTTTTCGACTTTTGAAATATTTTTTTGAAAAATTTAAAATGGACTAACCATCAACATCATGTTATCATAACAATACCACTAATATTCCGAAAAAAAGCCGTGTTGACTCATGTTTTGTGCCAATCTACTTCAACAAAGTTTCCAAATAAATTGTTTTTGACTGGAACTTCTGACCCAAAACTGAAAAAAAGTAGTTTCAAGCTGCGAAGAGAAATGACAATTATTTTCCAAAGACCATTATTCGATGCTGTGAAGATCACTTTGACGTAAGTCGGCGAATATACTTGTTATATGCTTAATTAATGTGCTTGTACGTAAAAACGCATTAGTAACCTACCTAATACAAAACCTGTCTATAACATATTTTTAATTTTACAGTTGGAGAATGACGTCGAAAATAAGATAAACTTTAAAATGTGTGGCACAATCTTCACATTGGCAGGACTGAACCAAGCTTTGCGTTTCATTTAAAATAACTGTAACACGATAACCTTCTTTACGTACTTTATGCTCCGGAGAACTCGACCTTTTACTGTACATAATTCTCCATCTCTTTTAATTTTGACATAGCCGATTGCATTATCGTCGTAAGATTTGTAGAAGCCGCTGAATAAAATATGAAGTTTAACAACTACGATTTTCACAGACCGTAGTAATTTAGTCCCTTTCATTTCTACACTTAAAAACTCTGCACTTTGGACAAAAAAAGTTATAACCATGTCAGCACTAACTCTTGGTAAATTCCTGGAGTCTGCTTTGATAAACGCAACTTCCATTTTTATTTAATGTAAAAAACGCAATTAATATTCCCATAAAATAATATTTACTTTAACAACCATAACCTCAAAGTAGTTGTCATAACAGGAGTGACGTCACTAAACGCTGATTGGTGTTTTAAAATACGTTCTGTTTCAAGTATTTTTAATTCGTAATAATTGTTAAAAAACAACATTATACAAAATAAAAACGTTGCAGTGGCATTTCTTTTATATTTTTTTTAACATTTTAATCATAAAATTTTCATAAATATTATATATGCATCTTCCCTATTAATGGCAGTAGCCCTATTCTCTAACGACGCCAGTTTTCCGACGCTGTCGAGGCTCATCCACCCCCCTAAGTTTACTGTTATGCTACCTGACTCGTTTTGAGGAACGATTTGAGCTTCATCATACCGAGTTCGATTATAGCGCCATGAAGTTAATCTTCCGATTTGACTTGATTTAAAGGTTTACTCATCGGTAAATATAGTATTCGATCAATCAAAATCGAGATGTTGTCGCGCAAAATTAAGTCGGACTGTTTTGTGGTGAGGTTTTAGCTCCACTATAATAGCATGATGTCTGTAGTCCAGCACTGTGCAAAGCTCGTCGGATCGTCCGAGCACTCACATCATATAAAGCAGCAAAATAACTAGTTGGTGTGAAACCGTCCTCTACATATTCTCTACGAAGAATCATTTCTGTTATTTATGCGGCGGTTAGTATTAGTCGTCGTCCTGAATTATTACTATGATCTGTTAATTGCCCTTCTTCGCCGTGACGCCGGATCCAAAACTTGACAGTGAATCGCGATATATTGAGTTCTCGTGATATAGCACTAATAGGTACTATGTCCATCTTCGAAGAAAAATATTATTTCAGCCCTTTGCTCCAGGGTCAAACTTGCCATTTTATTTCGTTATGAAATATTTTTCGTAAAATTTTGCTCTTGTCTTAACAATGTTCAAACAATATTTTTTTTGTAAATGTCTTTTCAACAAGTAAAGAAATGAGTTTCAATATCAAAAATTAATATCTAATTCCTTTTGTTATTCTCGATGCGTCATTTTGCATAGTAATAACTTTTGAAAGGTAATAAGTTACTTGATATGGCATTTTAGACTTTAGTGAAAAAAATGTGATATAGAATCTAATTTCAAAACTGGTAAAAATTTTCTGACCGCTACCGTACATTACGAAAATTATTAAAATAATTGTAGCATAATATGGGACATTGGGTAGGTGTGATAGCACGTTGCGATGTCGTGTCATAAATTTTCACGTTGCTCATCTTAGATTTCTACGGTATGACATCACATTATGAAACGACGTCGTATCGTATTTTTGCAGCTTGCAGCCCTTAATGACAGCAAAAGGTCACGGAGAGAGCGATGCTCGATATCATTCGAAGTACGCTACAGTACCCTTAGTACGAGTTTTACAATTACGAAAATTATGATAGTTTTCGAGAACTCAACGGTACTGATTTTAATGTTTGATTTTAAATTCTATCATTAAATCATTTGCGTCTTCTTAAATTTTAAGTATATTTGGTTACTCTTCACCAAAATTTACATTTACGAAAACTAAGATAGTTTTCGTGAGTTCAAACTCGTACTAAGGGTACTGAAGTGGCAATGGGTGGCAACTAAGATAGTTTTCGTGAGTTCAAACTCGTACTAAGGGTACTGAAGTGGCAATGGGCGGAACACGTAGCGAAGAGAAGCGATGGCCGTTGAGACGGAAAGGTTATTGGAAGTCGACCACGCCACGGTAATAATATAATATAACCGTGACCACGCGCTGTTTAATGCTCAGTAAGCAGGCCCTCCATGAGGTGGACCGATGATCTTGTGAAAGTTGCGATTGCGAGTGGAGGAGGTTCTTTGCTAAGCAGTGTGCGTCGTACGGCTGATATGATGATTATTGTGGGAGAGGTAAAATAGAAGCACCGAAGAAGTATTGACGGCCGCACTCAGATATGTCAATTAAATTCAGAATGCTAGGCAAAGGAAAGTGTTATTTTACATTGTGCTGCTATCGTAAAGAACATTCAATTTAAAAGGTCCTTAAATGAGACAGCATCAATTTTCATCGTGTATGCCATAATAATGAGAAAAAATATTTTGCCAATAAATGTTTTTAAGATGGGTTTATACGGCTATCTTGTACTTTATTGAAATCGGTAAGTATTTATGATTGTTACCCAGGAAAACGCCCCATAAAAGAAACATCAGTTACTAGCTTAATGTATTGTTTAAGGTGGTTTTTGTAAAAATCTTATACAGCCTTTATCCAATCTATTTCTAGAGTTGCAGGACCTTTTTGTTTGACTGGTTGATATACGCCTCCGTACATTTGAATACCTAAACTTGAAACGTTTGCTAAATCCAGCGTCTCGTTATTGTTCACTTTTTTCCCTCTGTAGTATGCTTTAAAGTCGGTGAATAATAGGTTTCTAACCTCGAATTCATCCTTAGGCGCCTGAAAAACAAAATGTTCTATTTCAGGTACACATGACAATAATTATTATTTTATCCTATAGGTATTATAAACTGGCCGTACCAGCGACATCATTCGTGTAGACGTTGAAATACAATAACGTGTCGTGTCGTGCGTAGGTGGGTAGGATAGGTGCATGCCCTCGTATAGGTTTCGTATACATAAAGATTAAGTAGGACCTTTAATAAAATTGTAACCAAAAGGATAAATTTGTAGCTGTTGTAAGTCGAATCTACGACTGTCATAGACTCGTAGCGTAGATGAAACGCCTCAATTTTCATACAACTGTATTTGACCAATTCAAATAATTTTGATTAATGATAAAATTTAAAAGGTAATAAGTAGAACGATGTACAAAGTTTGAGCTCTGTTGAGTGATTACAAATAAGCAAAATCCATTCAGTTGGGGGGCTCTCGGTTCTTACGAGTTCAAATTACTGCTAAAAATTTGTATTTAAAGCTAAGTTTCTTTGGCAAGTTTTTTAAATTTAGCAGAAGTAATCAAAATGCTACTATGTGACTGTGCGTACAGGGTTATTATAGTCTGCCAGTACAGAATAATAGGCTCTAGTATGTGGGCCCTTGGTTGAAACGCTCAAAAATGAATTCATGACCAATATCTCAGCCCAACTCATTATAAAATTAAAATAGTTGATGCATCTTTTGGCATAACATTTGTAAAACAGCACTGATGTTGAAAACATAATATATTTTTTTTACAAAATCTTGCGTACGAATTTTCAATAATGTGGATAGAATAGAAAGCTTATAAGACCATATTTTGCTGAACTAAAAATCCTAACTCTCACTTCACTCTATATACCTAGTCAGGTCATAAATTCTGTCACATGTTTAATATAAAATAATTGAAACAAGTTTATTCATTATGTAACCATTTACCAAAATGAACTTAACAAAACATAGATTCTTATTACAATAAAGTTTATTCAAAATGACCTCCGTGATTTTGAATACAGGCCTTTAATCTGCGCGGCCAGTCGTCTATCGCAGCAATAGCGAGGTCCATGTCATTATCGGCGGCTGCCTGAATCAAGGATGTCTTGAGTGACTCCAAATTGGGATGAGGCTCTGAGCACGCCTTTTCCTCCAAGTGTTGCCATATCTTGTAATCTAACGGACTCAAATCTGGACTGAAGAGTGCCAGTCTTCGTGCCGGATGAAGTCGATTCCACGCGCCGCCAGCCAGTCTTGTGTGCTCTTCGCTATATGAGCTGGCGCCGAATCTTGTTGGAATACCCAGTGCCTGTTATTGAAAATGGTATAAGAAACAGGTTCCACAAGGTTCGTCAGTTCGTTTTTACACCTTTCTCACAAAAATGTACCTCTGTTAAGCCCCAATAAGAAACTCCCAAGCATACCATGAGCGAGGATGGTAAATGACCTCGTTGGACATGCGGAATACGGCTGCTCGCTTCTTCACTACTGTGTTTTCACCTTATCATTTTGTTTGTTGTAGCTCTCTTCTACGGTAAAAATTTTTTCATCCGAAAAAAGAAATTTCCTGATATTTTTATATATGCAACGCAATAACTGTAACACGGTCTTCTTTAAGCGTCCACTCCATATTTAAAAAGGTAAATTTAAAAAATCAAAAAACCCGACTGCTTAGTTATACTAAAAACTGAAAAGAAAAAAACAAGTCCAGTAGTCTATAATTCTGTTAATAAGGAACAAAGCTACTTTAACAGTTGGGACCCATTAGATATTCAAGAATACATAATATTTTTCAATAATGGGTCCCGACTGTTAAAGTAGCTTTGTTCCTTATTAACAGAATTATAGACTACTGGACTTGTTTTTTTTCTTTTCAGTTTTTAGAATAACTAACCAGTGGGGTTTTTTGATTTTTTAAATTTACCTTTTTTATTTCACACTTTTTAGTTAGATAGTATTTTAAGACGGTATAATATACCGTAGTCTTGTTACTTCAGTAAGGGAATTAATATCGCGGGAATTATTGAGTACCTTGCGGTGGTCTAAAAGATTGATTTATTAAGACATATAGAGACTTTACCAGTGGGGTCAAGGCTACAGATGGGCCTCAAATTTCGCAAAAATTAGTGAAGTTAAATCAAGTCGTTACCTATTTAACTAATGTATGTAAAATTTATAGAAAATTAGCACTTTTTCAAAAAGTCATTTTTTGTTTATGTTCTTTTTAGTAGTTTAGCAGTAAATATAAAATTCGTTTACTTTTATTCGTCGACTATTAAAAATTGGCAGTGGCTGCATTGTCATGTCAACGTCCGGCTCTAAGATTGTGATATACACAAATGCAGTGTCATATCTTAGTCTCATAATTTGATATATCTACGAGTACATAATTCACAGAACCCCAATATGTAGATGCCAGCAGTTAACTTCAAATTTTGTAAATCACCCTATACAATATCAATTAATTTATGTCGCAGGTTGAAGAAAACAGTAATTTCCGTCTGTTGTTTTGGACAATGGTGGCAACTGCCTTAGATCGCTTAATTAAATAATTATGCAATCACCAAAGCAAAGTTTATAATATTTGATTAAACTAAAGGTGCATAATATTTTTTTCATAACGTTAGGCAGAGCACCATAGCAATCTTATTTATTATCAATTTATAGTTCTCTTTGTAGTTTTCTTTTATAGCGTTCACCAATAACAGGTCAAAGACTTGGTGATCGACCCTTTTTTATTGGTAGTGTAAAGCTCCAATGAAGAGTACTTCCACCTATCAAGCGTGCTGCTACCAGCCTAGTAGGTATTGCAAATAGTGCAATCATGGCAATTATTTTCCAAATTTTTTTTTTGTTTAAAAAAATATCGAATATCGTATCACTTTTAAGCACAAATGCTAAGTAACTTTTACAAATATAATCAAATAAACCTATTATTTACTTTATTTTGAAATCTTTTTCATCAATGAAATTGTAACAAATAATCTGTCAAACTACTGAACCGGTTTCAAATATTAATGCATCATAAGGTAGCTACATTATTTATTATTACATTTTTCTTTATTTAAATACATTTTGTCCGAGTGACATAGGCTATATTTTATCCCGATAAAATAAACGCCCGTACAATGCCCGGGTGGATCACTAGTAAGTATAATATAATATTATAGATGCGATAGTGAGTTTGTTTGTTGCGCTTCCGTGCCCTAATAGCTAAATCGATTATAATGAATTCCCCTATAGAAGTAGATGGGAACTTGGTTCTTAGCTACAACATCGCAATACTTATAGGCGTAGACTGATGAAAAGGGTGATATACCTATAAAAATCTACATTATTTACTTTAAATTTTACAGAATTATCGTTTATAGGTAATTAAAAAACCAATATTATCGCGAGCTAATTAATAAATACAGGGATTCCAATAAGTATGTACCTACTAGCGAACAATGGGTTATTTGTCATTATATTAAGTAAACCTTTTTTGTAACATTAAGTAATTTCGTTAAAAAATTTAAAAACAGTATAATTCTGGGTTTTTCATTAAAATTCAATAATCATGAATACCTATTATGATAATTTATTTTTCATCATTTAATAAGACGGAACTGTATCACAGTTTTATTATAAGTACTTCGTATAGGATCAGATTTTCGCCTAGGTTTTATCCATGTTTATAAACCCCTAAATTAAATTTCTTCTCTTAGTATACCGCAGTCTACTCCTACATAGTACACCGCGCTATCACTTTGTCATCGTTGTAACTTTTTAAATATTTGTCGAAATGACATAGTGTAAAAGGCAAAGTTTATCGTCTTTAAATATCAAAAGCGATAAAAGTATTTGTTTTGATAATAAATAATTTGTTAATACAAAATGTGCATTTTGGAAATAGATATCAAATAATATTTTAGTTTTGATTCACTATTTTAGCGGTAATGGCTTACACATTAAATATAGATAAATGGTGTCACGGACTTTTTTTTTAGAACTATTTAAGAGATGCATTTTCACTCTGCATTAAATTCATGTAGTTTTATTGTTTTTGCAGTACAGGCCAAAATGGCTCGCAGATGGAAGATATTTTTCCGTCTTATGTGACACTTATTGTTATATTTTGGCCAATTCACTTAATAACTTCATAAATTATTATGTAAGATTATCATATAAGAGCTATATTACTGTTAAGTTTCATTAAAATTCATTCAGTATTTTTTAGGTGAAAGAGTAACTAATCCATACAAACGTAAGATTGAAATTAAAAGCGCAAGTGGTTAATATACAACTTTAAAGCGTTGTAGATCCTAAACAATCATATAAAATAAAAATTACTTCGTCACAATAAGGGCGCCTAATTTTGTCCACATTGAATTTTGATTACTATCATATCTTTAGTAGCACTCCCGTGATTGAGATGAATCGATTAATGTATGAATCATCAAAATCGGTCCAGGCGTTTGGTCTCTAGTGTGCCACAAAGGAACAAACATACATATTATATAGACTGTTAAACACTATACCCTGTCTGCGCGTCGCGCTTCGCGCTCTTGCATTGCGCAGTCGGGTAAAAATATGAGTAAAATTCTAAAAAGTATACATTTTTATTTTCATGAACAATTCGAAATTCGAATTCAATAAACTTTTTTGTAACTTAGAATTCTAAAAGAAAAGTTTTTACTGCGTGACAATACTTATGACCTGACTGTTTATTTGAAACTTGTAAGAGCACACGGACCACCGGCCACAACCACAAAACGCCGCCACCGGCATATTTCCTATAAATTTTATACATTTCATATTTAATTAAAACCAAACGGCATTTTAAAAGTTTATATTTGTGTAAGTGTAGTTCAATAAATTCACTAACTCTACACAAAAAATTAAAGGAATTATTTGAAAAACAAGCGCTCCATTAGACTTTGAAATTTACCTGGTTCAATGTGAGACAACTAACCCTATTTGTAATCAAAAATTTTACTGTGATTATAATCAATAATTATGTGTATTTTTTTTTAATATTGATATTCTAGTAGATACCCTTAGTAACAGTTTTATAATTACGAAAACTATGATAAGTAAGTAGTTTTTGTGAGCTCGCACTCGTACTAAGGGTACTAATT